CCCATATTATTCGCAAGTCACCGACTTACTAGCCATTTTTTAGCTGGCTGCGCTGAAGCAACGTGAAGTTAATGTTTCGCTCAAGGGAATTCACAATTTAGACAAGGGTTGCCCCTTCTTTGGATTTCGACCAAGCACCTCTGGAATTCAAACCTGACCTCTTTGAAACTGTGTCACCGTGCACGACGCAGATGGGGGAGGGGGGGGGGCTGAAACCCCTTTACTAGAAAAATTGTTTTCTATTTATTAACTTCATTTTTCTTGCCACCGCTGGTTTCAATAATATCTTATACTTTATTCATCAATGAAACATGAACAAAGAAGTACTTCTGCAGATACTTATGGCATCTCTGTCACCGATAACAACAGAATTCGACTGAATGTGATAACTTGCCATAATTTCAGTACATCTGCGAATAGCCGGTGAAACAACTAGAGAACCATAAAAATACCAACAGAGACAAATTCATTCAACGTCAATTCGACGTCATGTAAAGCACGCTGGCAAAGCAGATCTTCCAACGATCTGTACTGACGAAAATACTAACACGCGTGTATCCAACAGTCACCAGTCAAATGCCTCAGATTATCACGACATATCTAACCCCCTGAGGCAAAGAGGCCATATAGGCAAGGGGTCAATATGGTCAAACGGATGACTGATCAATACCACTGGAGTACCGTTTATGCATTGCGTAAAAACAAATCGTACCCCACGTTGTTTTTCAGTATGATCACCAAAGCACGAACTACTCAACCTACAGTGCATGAACACAAACCAGAATCTCACTATCGAATCGAACAGAAACACGTTCGAACAGCAACCGATATAGTAAAAATTATCAAGATAAAACAACCCCGATGTTCTGGGGTAGCTTTCGATATCGCCGTAAAACATATGCAAAACGATACAGGACTGAAACGGCACAGCATAAAGAATAAATTTATTTCTCATTTTACACCAACAGAATTATTACACCACCCGTTGCTTATAGTCGCCTAGGGGGCCGCTTAAGCAGGCCACAGCTCCAAGGTAGATAAGCGTTTACACTGCAAAGGACGCATGACTGCAACCCTTTGTTGGATCGAAAAAGGACAAGTTCAAGCTCAAACGCATTTCCCCACGATCCCTAGGCAAATTCAATCAAGATGAAACAACCCTTGATGTTCCAGGGTAGCTAAAAACTATCACTTTGGACATAAACTGAGGATACCGAGGTTAATGCTTCACATCACGGACGAGCAGAAGAAAACAAATTCTCACCTTTAACCAAGTCGAAGACCTCTGAGATTTTGCAACAAGCTGCAGAGAAAAATTACCTACCTCAATGGTCAGATTACACGGTCATCTTATTAAATAAGAAAACTGGCGCATCAAAGAAGCATGAATTACTGAATCTTGTGAAAATGTCAACCTCGACAAAGGATACGAATTTAATACGGATTGGACAAGTGATATCTTCCGCTAGCTACGGATCAAAGAAAGAACTTCAGAAATGAACCATGAAGAAGGCCGATGAGACCCGAGCTGAAACGTCGGTACTGGTTACCCGACTGACTAGTTTGTTTGCGTTGTGTATGAA